CCCGCCACAACGCCCGGCTATTTTTTGGTTGCAGCCATCATTGTTGTTTGGTGGGTCCGGACTGGGGATTCGAACCCGCCACCTTAGGTGTACATGGCTGGCGCCTTAGCCGGTTGAGCTATAGGCGCCGAGCCAAATACTTATTTTCTTGATAAAGCAAACATTTAATAAGGAAAATAGGCAGATTATCTGAAACTCTATGTATTTGGAGTGCTGGCATGAAAATTTTTACTCTTAGACAAACCTGTATTCCTGACTATTCTCCTGGGTTCTCTTTCCTTTTTTTATAATAGCTTTTCATTTTTTACACCTGTTCTGCCATGCGTTCACAAGGAATGCGTTCCAGCAGTTCAGGCTCCTCTCTACAGATTCTCGCAGAGTGAGCATCACTGGTTAGAGTTGGCTGATGCTTCACTTGAACCAGGTAACTTTCTTTCTCTTTGGCTTCCTTCTTTTTCTGATCATTTTCCTTCATATGTTTCAGAAGGCTGTCTCCGCTCTTAGAGTGCTTAATACACCCTATATGCACATTAATACTCTTGGCAAGAAGCTCACCTTGCTTGTTTACAACAATGCCAACAGCACTGGGTGACACTGGTTTTGCCATGGTAGCATTTGTGTGGCATGCCTTCTTGGACAGTAGCCATTCCTCTGAAGTCTACAGTATCACCTTTCTTGCATGTATATGGCCAAAGAAACAACTCCACATTTTTAAAAAGGCCTAGAGAACATGTTTCGGGTGCCTCTCCTCTTTCCCTTTGTGGTCATCATTTTGGTAAATTACTAGAAGATGGCAGCTCTGTGGAAAGGCTACTCTGCCCTGAAAAGTCATTTCCCAGATATGAGCATCTGTATAAAGGACAGTGTATTTCTATTCTGGGATCTATTTTAAGTGTATGGCAGGTATATCACTGAAGGATTTTATAGAATAAGGTTAAGTAATAAAAATGACCTAAAAGAGAAATCATTCTATTTTAAAAAATAAAATAGATATTAATAAGAGGATAAGAATATGATGCTTAGGTGCTCAGAAATTGCCTTAGAAGCTTTGTATAGATCTTCTACAATGCCTACATCTCTGATAGCTAACATCAACCATTTTATACCAAAAGGAAAATAGGTAGGCAACCCAAACACATTCTACAGCTTTTAAGAGAATATATGTACATTTTAGTAAATCTCTTCCTCATCAGACAAGGGTATTTGTGTTTGTCTCAAACAGGTTCCTATCCATTATTCTTCTCACACGTTAAGGTATGCACCAATTGCCTCGGGATCTTGTTAGGCCATTCACATTCAACGCCTGCGTAATTCCCCATTATCCATACATCTCTAGCTACCTATTTTCATCCTCATTTTCTAAAGTCAAAACTTACATCTAAACAACTACTTCAATGAAAAAAAATTTTTTTTTTTTTTTTT